TTACCGGCAACAAAGCTCCAGCGAATCAGGTCGAAGAACTGACGTGCAGGATCGGTTGGGAGAAGCACCGACGAGGAGGACAATTCATCCTAGGAGAAGGATAGGACCCGTCAACCAACCAAACGAAGGAGTAGCAGGCACGTCCAGATCAGACACTAGATCGGAGACAACGAGTAGCAGTCGAGAAGAGAGACCGAACAGAGGCTCATTGTTATGGTCTAGACCCATGCCGTCTCCCTGGCACATATACAAAGAAGAACTGATGAAGCTGGACCTGCAGAAAGTAAGCTTCATCGAAGATGCAAGGAGGATGCTAAATGGAGCGACGCTATCCGTCAGCAGATTATACTCAATAACCGGCGTAGACTGGTTGATAGCCGCTAGCATAAATTTCAGCTCCACGACAGCCTTAAGATTTGCTGACTTGGAAGGACTGCCCTCCAATAACACAATGGGACCTGTGAATGCAAGACCGTTGCAGGATGTCAGATTGAACCATGAGGAGAGGAATCGTGAGGAAAGGCCAGGAAGATTCCTGACGGCGAGAGCGCCAATTGGACAACACGTGAAGATATTCAAGCAACTGACGACACCACCTAGTCATGTGAAGGAGAGAGTATACCCAAAACAAGTGAACCAAGATGGTGATGCCCAGAGATATGGCGGATTGACAGCAATAAAGAAAGATGAGAGCATCTTCGCCGCCTACGACAAAGCAGAAATGAGAAAGGCCAAGATCATGGTAGTAGCGAATTCAGAGTTCGTGTACACCTCTAAGTCTTTGTTTTGGCCGGACGTCATAATGCTGGCCGCAGTTGACCTAGACCTATTGCAATCAGTGTCATTGGCTATAGGGGTACAAAGGCAGACAGAAATGAACCCGATAACGATTGTGTTTGCTGGCATCAATGACCATCTACACAGTAGAGGTTTTCTGAGCAGGCTCAGAGATCCTGCAACAGCAGAAAACGCAGTATGGCCCGCGATAAAAGACATCCTGGAGTCAATGGGTGAAGTGGTAAACGACGAAAAAAGAAGAGAACAAAGGGATGATGAAGAAAAGTTAAAACTCAAAATTGTTTTTTGTGTGTGAAAAACTCAAGTGAGAAACCAAGCAACCAAGTTGTAATTGAAAACTGAAACATTTAAGTTGAGTTTGGAAATTGTTGCATTTATAAATTTGCATTTTGGTTTTAGTTGAAGTGGCTTTAGAGACACTCACTTATTATTTATTTAGAGAGGCTTGAGGGAAGAGTATATTTAAATATTCCAGCCTGCATGATTGTTTTTAATCACTTAGGAAGACTGATAACTTTGTGGTGACATGAAAAACTTGAGTAACTTCTTGAGGAGGGAGGTTGTCGCATTGTTCTTTCTAACCACAAAGTTTCTTAGTTTTAATATTCAGGACAATAAACAAGCAAGATTTCCGAAGGGAAGGAGCATAGTAGGATAATTTTAGCTTGTTGGTTGGCAGGACTGTCCTGCAAGCCAACACCTTTTAAATCTAGGAGAAGAAGTTTCAATCGGGATATTGACACTGGAAGTCAGAAAATATGTTTTATCTTAAGTCATATCCTCAATGTGCAGATTAATGAAAGAATTTGAAGGCTATAGTGATGTAGTATGATGCCATTTATATTCTGCAGTGAGTCGATGTGACGTAGGTAAAAGTAATTTCGTGCATTTTGTAAATTCTGTTCGATGGCACTGTAACCATTTTATGAAAATTGCGCGATTCAATGAGGACATTGACCGGACTGTCCGGGGAGTATGTGACATTCGACCAGAATGGCCAAAATGCAGTCTCTGCAGAATTCGGTATTTTAGCAGCAAGCCTTCCGAATTGGCGATTTAGAACGGATAAGGACGTTATTTGAACGATTAGCCAAACGGTGAAGGCTGGAAGATTCTGGAATTCTAATTTTTAAAAATTCGAATTATGACGTCATATTTCTGAGAAACGTCAGAGACGGCCATTTTAGCTAAAATAGCAGAAAGGAACAGAACAACTTTTATCTGCGATTACGAACAGTACGAAATCGAGACTAAAAAAAAACAACAACGAACTATCGAACAGCAGAGGACGTTCCGAGTTGCAACTATTGTACTGTTACAATAGTTGCAAGGCCGTTGCGAGCAACGGTGAAGGGTAAAACCCAGCCTTCCGAGTTATTGTGAACTGGATATTAAGACGCTTGATTCACCGGATTCAAGAATCCGGAAGGGTCTCGGGACGTGGACTTTTATGAACTTATATTGAATTTTAGCATCCGTCATGTCCTGACTTGAATTTAATTAAGATCTTAATTCGTTTTGACAAGAATGAGGAGCTAGAAGTAGGGGGGAAAGGGTTGATCCATCTTCGATGGAGATGATGATTTTTATCTACTGAACAAAAACAATAGTAATATAATAAGTAGTAGCCCTGTTTTTAGGAGTGACCTCGTGGTCTGGGGATACAGAGACCCAGCCATGAGCTCACTAATTTTGCATGTAATTCAGTTAATTTGAGCGTTCTGGTCGAAGCCGGAGAACAGTAGCGTTTTTGTCAGCCTGATGTAAGAAAGACCACCGAAAAGTACTGGCTTGGTAGAGACGGTGAAAAACATGCAAAGCTCTGTTTAGACGCTAGCCAGTCGTCTTAAGACTTAGTTTTGTTATCCGTCGATATGTATCTTCCGGGCGAATGTTACATGATTTAGATAGAGAGGATTTCATAAAATTCCCAATCACAGTAGGCGCTGCTTCAGGAATGGTAAAAAAAAGCAAAAAGGAAAATGGTCTGAGTAAAGCACTTCATTTACAAATGCAGTGAACAATTCTGTGTGCGAAGTTAAAATGATATCAAGAGTGTTGCCTGAGCGATGTGTGGGTTCATATATAAGGGGCATTAAGCTATGATCCTCAATAACCTCTAGGAACAGTTTTGAGTAATCACAGCCTCCATCAGAAGATGCCCAACAGATATCAGGCAGATTTAGGTCACCTAAGATTGTGTACGAACTAGAACCATTAATCAATTTGGAGTTAAAATAACGTATTGAATCAGTAAGCCTTTTGGCAGGTATCGGAAACTGCGACGAAGCGGGGGGGTTGTAAATAAGGAGGAAAATATGATTAACTGCACCCGAATATATTGAAAGTCCGATGCAGTAATCTGCATCGTAATTTATTATGTAATTACAGTTGTTTAAATTTGATTGGTCAACAGAATCTTAGAGCAGTTTTTGACATCATTCTCATTTTTCCAGATCTTTGATCGTTTTAAAAATACTAAAGAAACTTACAATCCTGATGATATACAAAATTTGGAAAACGTTTGAATTATCATTTTAAAATTCTCATGAAAATATGACAATTAAAAAACCCATAAATTCACTGGAACCATAGCCCTTTGTGCCTAAGTACAGAATTCTTGCCGCAACATATGGAACGAACGAGTTTCTAGCTAGAAAGTTTGCATATGGCAGCTATGCAAGGACGTGTATGAAAAGACTCTCCAGTTACCCGGCAAATCAAAACATCAACACTATGAATTAGTCGCTCATAACCGCAAAGACCTTTGAGATGTCAAAAAAACTGTTCGGGTCGAGTAGTACCTCGAATACTTTGAAAAAATCTAAAATTTTCATGTAGATGTTTAATTGAATTAGGAAATCAGAAAATTTCTAAAACACTTCACAGAAGTTTGAAAGAAAGGCAGCCAAATCAGATTGGAGCAAGTCGCTTTTACCACAGGGATATTCTCGACATAAATGCTTTCTCCGTTTCAAGTGATTTCAACTCTAAATTATAGCAAATCGATTTATGGATACATATCGACGAAGTTTAGACTAAATAGGATCTAATAGAATTAAGTTAGCCGTTTGTTTTAAATAGTGTGGCGATGCAGATTTATCAGGTTCAAGTACCCCTTGTTTCTCGAAGTTCAGTAGACTTGCAGCTGAAAAGGCTTGTCATTTTTCATGAGTTTGAAGAATGGGGCTTATCAAGTTAGCTCATAATTTGTTTGTTCTACCAAACAATTAGGCTTGATGTTTAGTTATATTCAAAGAACGTCTCCAATAATTGTTGCCTCAAAAAGTAGCCGGAGCACTCATGGCAATCGTTGGCAAAAATAAATTCTGTAAAATTCATTTGGTTAAATTTCAGTGTTCATGGCAATGAAACTGAGATTCTATTTCGATGTAGTTTCGCCTTACTCTTTTCTCGCCTTTAGAGCTTTGAAAAATCAAAAAAGTTGGCAGAAGATCATGAAAATTGAGTTATCGCCAATTTTCTTAGGCGGAATAATGCAGAAAAGTAAAAACAGTGGACCTGGTTTGCATCAATTAAAAGCGCAGTATATGCAAAAGGACTTGAAATACATGGGCTCACTCTTTGGTATTAATGATTTTGCAATACCGTATAATATGGGTGAAATACTGTTCAGTAGTCGAAGCACTATAGATGCGCAACGTATGCTGTTGATGGTCAACGAATATGAAGGATTCGAGGCATGTATGGCAGTCTCAGATGCATTCTTTGACTATATTTGGACATCTGACGGTAAAACTGATATCGAGGCTGGATTGGATTCCTTTTTGAATATTTTACGGGTTTCAGAGAAGGTTTCCCGACAGACTTTGGAACAAGTCAATGAAACAATGAAAAGTCAAGAAGATTATGCCAAAGTAAAAGCGCGGCTAACGGAAAAAACTAATGAGGCTGTTGATAAATTTGGAATTTTCGGGGCACCTAGTTTTGTTGTTTGGGATAATGAGAAGAATGACAATTGGAAGATGTTCTTCGGAGCTGACAGATTGTTTGCCTTAGCTTCGCTGTATAATCTTCCTTTTGAGGGCTTGAATTTAAAGCTTAAACTTTGAAGTATCAGAAATTTGTATTTATAATCTTTATTAATTCCAAATCTTAATTTATCAAATTTTTTATGTGTTTAGCGTTTTCAAGTGTCCTGATCATAAACTTTGGATGCTTCAGAACGTTCAATTTTTTTCAGAGATTTAGAATGTCTGACATAGAACGACTTAGACAAGAGGCTGACAACCTTAAAAATCAAATACGGGTAATTTTCTTGAATGTAGAGCATCTTTGGGACCTGGGTGCATAATTGAAAACATTTCATGATTGAATTTCTTTGGTCATGATTGAATTTCTTTGGTCAAAAATTTGAATTGTTTATAGGAAGCGAGGAAGCAGGCATCAGATGCTAGTTTAGCGGAAGTGGTGGCATCAGTGCCGGCAGTGCAAAGAATCACCGTCAGAACCCGCAGGACCATGAGGGGACATCTCGCTAAAATATACGCCATGCACTGGAGTGCCGACTCCAAGTCAGTATGGTTTTTTCAAGTTTTCAAGAGATCCTTTCATAATTTGTTGCAAAAGGTTCAGATAGACACAGTTAGTTAAAAAGAGCAAACTACCATGAAGAACAACCTACTTAAGTTTTTAAGTTTCAGGTCGCCTTGAGACATAAGTTATGTCTTGGAGAACTAGATGTTCCATTCGAACTATTCTGGAATTGTTCGGTGTCTCATTTAATTTTTAATTTCTATTCAAAACTTCTGTGTCCCCATACTCAATTCTCCGATAGAAAAATCAAGAGATACGGTATTGACGTATCTGAAACAAATCTACCAAAACAGGAAACGTGAAAGTGCTGAAAAATTATTAGTTGATATGACAAATAATTAATTGCATTGAGAAGGTGATATGATTTGAATAAAGTTGAGTGCCTGATTTTTCAGAAATCTAGTTAGTGCATCACAAGATGGCAAATTAATCGTGTGGGATACTTACACTACAAATAAGGTAATCTTTGTTTAAACGTTAATTCGAATGTCTGTTTTTTGTTGTTGATGGTGTTCCTTGAATTGGTGTAATGTGTTGGTAGGTGCATGCGATTCCTCTTCGATCGTCGTGGGTGATGACCTGTGCTTATGCGCCCAGTGGCAACCTGGTAGCGAGTGGAGGTCTAGACAACGTCTGTTCAATTTACACTCTCAGAACACGGGAAGGCAACGTCAAAGTTTCACGCGAACTCAGCGGACACACAGGTCAGTTAGTGCTATGCTAGGGTGAGGAGGACTTAATAACTTTTTATAAGTCTTAAGTCTTATTGACTTTTTTCGGCTTAAAGGGTTTCTGCTGAGGTATTTTCGGCTTTGTTAATGCATGGTAAATTCTCTATTTCACATTCTTTTGTGATTGTATGTTTTTGTATTTAAAAACTAGTTTGTTTTTCGATTTCGACGTAGCAGCTTTTTTCTTTCGTATCGCAAGTGACGCGAAGCTCCGCTTCGCCTCGGTGTTTAAATTGTTGTTCAATTCGATTTTTTATGTTCTATGTAAATCAAGTGGTAATTTTTTTTCAAATTTTTTCTTTTTTTTCTCGCGTCAAGATTTCTTGTGCTTGAATGGTTTCGGCTGATATTCTATCTGCCAGTTCTCTCACAACTCACATTTGAAAGACCAAATTATATTAAGTTCATTTGTGCTTCGGTGGAGAGAAGGGGGGCTACTTTGAGGTTGGCAATTGTACTCTGCATTTTTTTCTCAAATTGAACCACATTCGAGACAAACGTAAAAACTCACTCGATGTTTTTTTTACCCTTGCGACAAGCAAGGGTATTTGCGACCGGGTACTAGACTTTTTTCCTGTAAACAACTTTGTCCACAGGACTCGTCTAGACTCATATTTACCTTGTTTCGTAATGTATTCAAGTTTCTTAGCGTTCCTGGGCAACTTAGCCTGGAGATAACGAATATGCCTGGGACGGCAAATGTCCTGGGTTCGAGTCTGACCAGGACTTGTTTTTTTTCAAAAAAAATTTTGTCGGCCAATTATTTGTCTGCTTATCTGTTGCCGGCTTAGTGGTCACATCGTGAATTGTTTTTTACGCGCATTTTTTAATGTTGTTTTAAGTGTATGATTTACGCTTACATTTTCTAATTCAACTTACCGTGACTTCATATTTCCTTAGTTTTTTGTTTCGCTAAAAAAAATTCTCGGCCAAAATTATTTCGGTCTATTTTTTCTTAGGCCTCATGATCAGGACGTTTCAAGATCAACACATTATAAGCACTCTCCTCTGCTTTTTTCAAGCCGGTTGTTTGTTTACCAATCTGTTTGTTAAAATTTCATTTTCTTTCGTTTTGGAAATTTTTTTTTTTCACCTTTCGCAAATTTTTTAAGTTTTTCTTTGAAACTTCTGATTTTCAAAAAGGGGTATCAATTGAAAGATTGCCTACTCCCCTGTGTGCTTGTATACTCCCCTTGAATCTCTTTTTACTTGACCCCTCTGTCTTGGGCCTTCGAAAAAGTCTTTGGGGGGGATATTTGACCCATATTTTTATTTTATTTTTCGTTTTCTCAAAACTTTCTCCTCAAATATGGGTGTTGGTTTCAATGGATAGAACTGCTTTGAAAAGCTCACTTGCATGACTTTTTTTACTCATAAGTTTATGGCCCTCGGAATAGTCAAGCGTTTTGTTTTTGACCGTTTTGTGGACTTTTCTCGAAAACGAACCGCTCAAATCTTATATTATGAGTACAATGAGATAACAGGTAGTGGGAAGTTCTTCTGCATTAGCGGACACTTACAAAAAGTTTTACACAGAAAGTTATCGCCTTCTGAAAAGTCAAAATGTTGATTTTGGCGTTTTTTTGAAACTTTTTGTAAACTGCCCTGCCATACCTTAGATTTTGGATTGAATTCTCAGAACGGGCTTCGGGAGGTTCATTAACTTGTGCAACTACGCCCAATTTTTTTTACTCCAAAAGTTTTGGCATTCGGAAAAGTAAATTTTTTGGTTTTGTGACCGTTTTTTTTTTTTTAATTTTGACTTTTCTCCCAAATCTGATATTGTGGGTTTAATGTTAAGACCATTTATCCACGAGGGATAGGACCAACACAAGAGCTGTACAGCTCATCACGGCGAACCGCTGTTGTGCCCCTGTTTAAGAACTACATGCAATTTTTTTTTTTTGTGTTTTTTTGTTATTTTTTCTGGGCTGGGTAATGGTTGCTTCACCCTCAAGCAACGAGCACGGATCATGGTGGGCCTCGAACATCCGACCTATCGATTAAGAGGCGGAGACGTAACCACTTCACCACCGCTCCCCGTGTTTTTTATATAACTTATTAAGACCATTTATCCACGAGGGATAGGACCAACACAAGAGCTGTACAGCTCATCACGGCGAACTGCTGTTGTGCCCCTGTAATAAGATAACGGATAGTGGGAAGATTCTCCTAAGCCTACACTAAAAATGTATACCAGAAGTTATCGCCCTCTGAAAAGTCCTTTTTCTTAAACTTTTTGAATATTCCCCAAGTACCCTGCCATACCTGAGATTTTGGGTTCAATTCTCAGAACGGGCTTTTTTTTAAAGTTTTTTGACTTTTCTGGATAACTTTTCGCGTGCTCTTTTCGTTTTGTATCGCAAGTGATACAAAGTTCCGCTTCGCCTCTGTGTCAAACAACAAGAAGTTTTTGGCACTTTTTGGAAAGTTTTTTTTATCGGCGCGCGCTCTCTGATTCAATGAATATTGTCTCCAAAGGCGCTGTCAGAAAACCTGAAAGGGTGGCTTTGGGCCAAATTTCTGGGGTGGACTTAGAATTTTTTTCCTAAGTCTATTTTGTATCAAATGTAGAATGCTCAATACAGTTTGATTTGTACTGGTTTCTCGTTTCAGGCTATCTATCTTGCTGCCGCTTCATTAACGACAACGAAATCATAACAAGCAGTGGAGATATGACATGGTGAGTGTAGAAATTTTTGCATTTTTGACAGCAAAAGTTATGAAGCTGTAGCTAACACAAATCAGTAGTTTTCTTTTAGATGGATATGCTAATTGAATTGTTAAATGCTCAATCAATTGGTTGACGTATGAATGAATTTTCATGTTTGTGTTTTTAGCGGCCTTTGGGACATAGAGAAGAGTACTCTAGTGACACAGTTTGCGAACCACACGGGTGACGTCATGTTTCTCTCCATCTTCCCCGAGAGCAGAGTGTTCCTGTCCGGAGCATGTGACGCCAGTGCTAAACTCTGGGACATCAGAGACGGACAGTGCAAGCAAACATTCACAGGACACGAGTCAGACATAAACGCCGTCACTGTAAGTGCCATCACTCACAATAAGTTGCAATTTTAGGGATGAGAGCAGTGGTTGGCGTCAACTTTTTAGGAGAGCTCAGAAAATGAGAAAGGTCGACCAAAAAAGCTAATAGTGCTCTGCACTGTTTTTGAAAGTTTTTTTCTTAAATTTTAAAATGAGCTTTTGTCGCTTGCAATATATAATGGAAATACATTGTGCTTGAAAATTATCGTGAAAAACAAGTACAAATTAAGAGTTAGGAAAAAATCCGATTTTATCTGGAGGATATCTGCTTTGGTGATATTCCTGCTAGCGAGAGCGCATTCCTGAACTTGAGTGTGCAGAAGGTAACTGCGATTATGATGATTGCGTTTTTTTGTCCAGTTTTTCCCGAGTGGACAGGCGTTCGCGACTGGGTCAGATGACGCGACGTGCAGACTGTTCGACATCAGGGCCGACCAGGAGTTGGCTCTGTATGCGCATGACCAGATCATCTGTGGCATCACCAGTGTCTCCTTCAGCAAGAGTGGCAGACTCCTCTTCGCAGGCTACGACGACTTCAACGCCAACATCTGGGACTCCCTCAAGACAGAGCGATCAGGTACATCTACATTCACAAAAGTGCATGAGTTTAAAACAATTTTATCATCTAGTAGGCAGCAGAACCCACAAACCAACAAGGATAGCCGGTTACTGTGCAAGTAGCACAGAATGTTCCGAGCATAGTCATAAAACAAAAACAAAAAAGTTTTTTTTTTTTTTAAATTTTTGTCATTTTTTTCCAACGTGGTGTGATAAAAGGAGCTGAACGAGAAATTATATATTAAGCATATTCGACAGTCATAGTAAAATAAGCAAATTGATTTACAATTATTGTAGAAAAAGACTAGAAAAAAAAATCAAGTTTTTGTTTGAAGTTTTTGATTACAAAAAGGCGCGCTACAACACTCAAAAAACGAACGTTACTCGAATAAACTAAGTTTTTACCTTTTTACACTACGAGCTTGCGAGCGGTTGTGTATTAGTGCGAACGTTATTTTTTTCTAATCTAACTCTTATTCACTTATTTGGTGGCACTTATTTGGTGGCACTTTGTCTATAATCACGATTTGTTCTCTGCTTTATTTGTGGCTAGTGTTTGTGGGTTATTAAGCGTCCGTGGCTGAGTGGTTAGTGCGCGAGTTTCATAATCTCTAGGTCGCAGATAGAATCTGAGACGTAGCCGAATTTTTACTAATTCGAGGCTTATTTCTTCTTTTCTTTTTGCTACAGACATGAAAATTTATATATCTGATAGACGTAAGGTTATACATCAGCTAATTTTATAGAATCGATTTAATATGTAAAGCTATAACAGTGATTTTTGAGAGGTGGCGGTGTTCTTTTATCTCTGAAAGGATTTAATTTGTACTGTTCAACGTCATTCGTTGTCTAAATTTTGCAGAATTGTTGCCGTGAAGTCACATTAGTCGCGTTACGTAGTCTCCTTTTTGAAACAGTGTGTCTTGCAAAGATGCTAGAGCCTAATTGTATCTTGTTATTAAACGGTTATTTTGTGTCGCCAGGAGTGCTTGCTGGACATGACAACAGAGTGTCGTGTTTGGGAGTGACGGACGACGGAATGGCAGTAGCAACTGGCTCATGGGACTCCTTCCTACGAGTCTGGAACTAGAACCCCTCCCCTTCATTGAACTAGCCTAGCTGATTACAAACAAACAAGCCGACGACAGCAGGACATACATGATATATTGGATCATCTAGTAGGCCACACAAACAAATGCAAATACACGCAATCAATGAAGGCGACTAAATTTAAATCCTAAACATATGCGATTAGAGTTCTAGCGTTCCCCTGGAAAAGAAATACAGCTTGTCTCGTACCTTGGAGGTCAATAAAACACGCGGAAGATGTTAAGGGTCGTCTTAAATATTGGCAGTAAAACTTGTTCACATCACCCAGATTGCTACTACCATCTGAAACGGAAACTGAAATTCAGACCGAGCTAGTTTACCTCATTGTATCAGAATTTACCCACATCGAAGTTGATTATAGACTCAGTTGTTATGCTTTGTCGGCTATTGCTTGAAGTTGTAGCTTCGGTTTGAATTGAATAATTTATCCAGAATATGACCGTCATAATGTCAACTATTCGACGTGCTTTTCGAATAGAACAGGCATTCTAGTCTGAATCTATAGAAAGATCATCTCCGCGCGGTTTTATTAAAAATTTATTTTATTCCTGTTCATTTTTGGAAATGCAGATCAATTTGAATAATCTTTTTATAATCTAAGGATCAATTATTAATTTGTCGATATGTTGCTTTTAATTATTATTCGTGGTTTCGATTTAAATCCTCCCAAGCACTAACGCGGGCGGAAGTTACCCACAAATATTGTCCTCTAAATTCCTTCACTTTTCTTCCCCATCCTATTTATTTCCTGAATCACCCCCACCCCTTCCCTCTCCCAACATACCAACCCATTTACCTTACTTTAACTATGTCTACTATTTTCTGACCTGCCAATGTGTTGCAATTCTATCTTTTCGAATTGGCAAAAACTATCATGAGTAGTTTATTTAGAACAAATGGAGTTTCAGGAGCTGTTCGATCTTATCTTAAAGAAAAGCTTCCTATATTGAGATTGCAAAAGTAGTGTCTACTGAAAATGAAATGGGTTGTTTCTTTTCAGCTTGATTAAAATTCAAAGTATGACCAAACTGGTTTGATGTATGAACACATTGTGTTTCACAAACTGCTGGCGTTGATTGCAATACGCAAATTGTTAACGTAAACTGAAATGATTCTAATGGTTCCGTAGTATTTGAAAGAGAGTTCAGTTTGGTTGTTTGGGTCATGCTTTGTTTGTGTTGGAAATGTATAATACTTCATGAGTGCTCGTTTCGTTTGATAAAAGCCCTCTCATCTTGTCTTTACTTCATAATATGTACTACATTTCCACATGCAAAACCCAAAAAAATCTATCTCAACCTAAATGCTCTGCATAAATGAACGCAAAACAATACTTCCACCTTCAAAATAATGTGAAATGAATTTGTGAATTGAATGCATGTCAAGCATTTGTCTATCTTTTATATTCTCAGTCGTCAACTTCCTCGTAGTGATTATTAATACAATTCAATAAATAAATAAAATAAATAATCACGACAGAACAAAAACCGTTTATTAATTGTCTAACGTGCTTCTTTTCTACCTATTCAAAAATATTTCATAATTTATTTGCCCAAATTTCAGTAGTAAGTAGCGCATGAAACTACCAACTACAGAATTTTAAAAGAGCTTATTTGGTTCTAAAAGCCATCTCAGAGAAATTGTCAATTAAGTGAATCAGAGCTACGTATGTGAAATCAACATAGCCTTGGGCAAAGCAAATGTTGGTAGTTTCTGCAATTGTTTTAACAGTGCATCATGAAAACAGTAATTTTAATCAAATTTTGGTATGGAAAGACAATTAGTTACTAAATTTTATCATCTCACTGAAATTCATGCGTTTTTGCATTTGACAGCAATTAGTTTGATCGAAATTTCAGTAAGAAGTTCAATTCACCATTGAGCCAATGTTTATATAGTGGTTTCTAACGAAAAAAAAGCAACAATGACTTTCGCTTAAAAGCAACTGTTTGTTTGTGATTGGCACAATTGCATCGAAAGTCTTTGTTGTGATTTAAACGATTTTTATGCTTATTGAGAAGTATTACATGTTTTCATCCCATGCTCTTCCGATTATGTTTTCGCAATTGAACATTTTTAATTTCAGTAGTTTTTCCTCATTAACTAGGCTATGTTCAATTTTCCCAAGCTGCAATAGAGTTATCGAAGAAGTTTCATCAATCGATAAAAGAATTGTAAAATTCAAAAAGATCTGATCGTTTTTTTCTCCAAAAGCCGGAGGTAATTTTTGTTTGTTTGAGCTTAAGTTCACTTTGTTGGTTGCTATGACCGGTTTTTGAAATCACCCGTTTTGTGATTTTTTCGAGACTGAGTATGAGCATTTTGCCTCAAACAAAGAACATTTTCGTTAGTCTAACTCAATTTTCAATGGAAGAAGTAAAGTTTCTTTTAATTAAGTAGAATTTTGCTCATATGCCCCGCTATTTTCTAAAATGCCTGTTTTGTGGAGTGCGTTTTCTGAAAAGTTTCACAGGTGATGCATTCAAAAGCTGGTGATATTTTGTCGGTTGATAGGTTTCGACTAACTTTTTCCAGGGAGTGTTTGCATATTAATTCAGTTATGAAGTATTTTCCTCAAAATTTGTCTGCTTGTGGTCAACTTACCGTGGCTTTGTCGACTCTCATTAACGCAAACTAAATCTGTAATAATTTGGACTCATTTCGTAGGCGAGGTGCTTATAGCCTGTTGTTCCGTGGGTTATATTTAAAGAAGTTAAACATCACTTGAGTCTATTTCTTTCCGGTGCGGCCCGCTCTTTTTGGGTACCAGCTAATGGTTCTAATAACCTAACCCTTTTTTGGTTTTAGTCGTCTAAATAGATTTTTTGTGAACTTTGTTGGCAAACTTTGTTTAATTTGAAGCTTATTTCCTTCCCCTGTTTCCTTTTTTGATTGTTTTTCCACATAGACATTTTGTTTAATTGCGTCTATTACTCTTATGCAATCTTCGTTTGGCCATGTTTTAGTTAAAGGGGGGGTCGTTTTCGTTCCGCTCATTTAAAAAATTCAGGCGTGTTAGTATTCAGGTGTGTTTGAGTTTTTTCTTTTTTTTGTGTTCCACAAAAACAGGTACCACAAATAATCATCGCAGAGGGTTGAGTTATATACCATTTTAAGCCCTTTTAGTCATGATTCGAATAACCTTAAACAGTTTAGAAAAAGTTTTCCCAGTGTCGAGAAAAACCGGATTGAGTTTTTTGATTTTTCGTCTAATTTTGAGTGAGGGAACAGGTTTTCAATAAATTCTTTTGATAGATTAAAAGCTTAGTTGCTTAATTTAAGCGGCTAAAACTAGTTTTTTTTTCGAAATTTTGCCGATAAAGTATTTAGAAAAACAAATCAATCAAAAAAACATATATCAACATTGTTCTGAAATTTGTTTTTTCAACATATGGCAGAATTTTTTTTGGTCTGAAAAATGTATTAACAATGAGTAAGTTCGAAAACAATTTTCATTTGAGTGAATCTAAGCAATAACTAGCCTGTTCACTCGTAAAACTAAGCCTGCTCGCGTGTTTTGTATGCTCGAAGTTAAACAAACTAAATCAAAAATTCAAACTGATTTTCTTGGCACTACGCGATTTTTTAAGGATTTTTAGTGACGTTAGAATCACGAGTGAAAGGGCTCTAATAGAATATATCATTCGACTAATTCCGATCATTATTTGTGGTACCTGACTTTGCGTGGAAAACAAGAAATCTAAAACACTTGAATACAAATTTTAAATGGTCGGAATACTAATGGCGTACTAGTAAAAGTTTTTTGAACTTCTTGATTTTTAGGTCGCAGCTGCTGACATGCTCAATTTAGCGAAAAGTCAACTAAATCATCTATCTCATTGAAATTGATATCAAATATACGTGTCCAAAGGCTGATTGATATAACTGTCCAAAACATAGTTGCTGCTTTTTATATTTCCGACCATTGGAAATTGGGAGCAAGTTTGTATTGGGGTTTGTTTTGGTTTTTTCCACGCTAAATCAGGTACCGGAAAAATCATAGGAAAGAGTCGAATGATATATCATATTGAAGGCTTTTCAGTCGTGACTAGTTTCTAAAAATTCAAAAAATTTTCTCAGTGTTGCGACAAAAACCTGTTTGAAAATTCTGAATTTTGGTCTAATTTCGAGCGAACAAGGTGAGCGAGCAAGCTTATTTTGTTTATCAACCGAAATCATTTGCCAACAATAATCAGCGTAACGAATGAGGTAGTTTGTCAGATTGAAGCACTTTCAGTCTTGATCCGAGCGAAGTAAAGTATTCAAAACGTTGCCCCTGTGTCGAGAAAAACTGTTTCAGTCTTATTTTGCTGTAATTTTATTTTACTTCGTTGCGTCTTAAAGCTCAATTTTCTATTTAACTTGTTGAGTATAATTTTAAAAAAAGATCAATTCCGTTTTTTGGATTGTCCTGCCATGGTTTTATGTCGTCAAAAGTTGTCAAATTATGATGAGTCGATGAACGTTGTCTTGTTGGTTTTTTGTTCTTATTTTTGTTCAGGAATTTTTTTTAAAAAATGCTCTAATAACTAAGATGTGCATTCATACATATTAATGCATTTATGAATGCAATTAGGTTTATAATTTTTTTTGTTTCATTTCTTAAATCTACTAAAAGCTAGTTAAAATAGCAATCTCCAAAAACCAAGATGGAAATGGCGCAAAAAACGTGAATGACTTCTTTTTTGCAAGCAGTTTTTAGATTTTTCAGCATAGTTGATCCAATTAAAACATAATTGATCCAGTCAATTCAGACTAAAAACGTATTGATCCAATTTTCCAAAATGAGTGAATTTTGTCAAAGTGTAAATCATCAAAATGTCCTGAATTTGAAAGGGTTATGCTCTTACACTTTTTACCTTTAATTTCGACTGTTGAAATTTTTTCAAAAAAGTCTTTTTTTTCCGTTTTTTTCGTGCGTTCATTTGATCTTTTTAAAATTGCGAAAGCAAGTCTCTTAATCGGGAACTAGACGTTTTTCCTTTTAAAATTTCTACTTAAAAATCTTATTTGCTTTTCTTTTTTTGCTGTTTTGAACCGTAACAACTTTTAGGTTTATTCCCATTTGGCTCGAGGCAATGCCGTTGCTCTAGGTTTTGGGTCCCATGGATAAAACGGTTTATGTGAGGTTTTCCTGCATTAGTGGCTACGCCGAATTTTCTGCTTCAAAAATTATGGCCCTCGCAAAGTCGAAAATTTAATTTTGTTGACCATTTAATTTTGTTGACCATTGAGTTCAATCTAAAGAACTGTTTGCCGGGAAGCTTCTCTGCATGTGCGCCTACGACCAGTTTTTCTTATACAAAATTTATGACCCTTAGAAGAGTCAAAAAAGTATTTTTTGAAGATTTTTTTAAATTTGTTTTTGTTTTTTCTCAAAACGTACTCTCCCAAATCGAATTTTTTAGGTTTAACCAAAGTAACAGGTTGCGGAAGCTCTCCTGCAAAATTGACTGCGCTCAATTGTTTTTACGCAAAAGTTATGGCCCTCGGAAAAGTCAAAATTTGTTTTTTATACTGTTTTTTACTAACATCGCGGATTACTAACATTTTTTTGTTGAACTTTTCTTGATTTTATGGTTGCAGCTGCTGACATGCTCAATTCAGCCTAAACTAAGTCTTCTATCTCAATGAAACTACTATCGCATATCATCGGAAAAGGTTGAGTGATATATCATATTAAAACTTTATCAGTCGTGACTTGAACTCTTAAAAAATTCAAAAAGCTTTCTCAGTGTCGAGAAAATTTTTTTGAATTTTTTGAATTTTGTTCTAATTTCGAGCGAATAAGGTGAGCGAGCAAGCTTATTTTGTTTATCAACCGAAATCATTGGCCAAGAATAATCAGCGTAACGAATGAGGTAGTTTGTCAGATTGAAGCACTTTCAGTCTTGATCCGAGCGAAGTAAAATATTCAAAACGTTGCCCCTGTGTCTAGAAAAACTGTTTGAGTCTTATTTTGCTGTAATTTTATTTTACTTCGTTGCATCTTAAAGCTCAATGTTCTATTTAACTTGTTGAGTATAATTTTAAATAAAATATCAATTCCGTTTTTTGGGTTGCTTTTTTTGCTTTGTTTAGTATGTATGGAACTGAATTTTTTTCGGTGAAAATTTAGTCGTCGGACTTTCGTTTGCCTGCTCAAGTTTTGGTTAGGTGCCACATCACGGACTTTTGCTGTACTTAAAGAGAGTATCAAGGTAGTTGCAAGTGTTGATCATTGTATTTTCAGGAAGATTTAAACTTTTAAAAAGTTTTTCAAAAGAATAGGTGTTTTTCTGCTCAACTGGTTTCTGCTCAAAGATGGTGTCGGCTTTGTTTCCGGTTCGTAAATTTTGTTCCGCTGCTAATTACCCTTGCGATAAACAAGGGTATTGTAATCGGTTACTAGATTTTTTTCTCGTCCATAATTTTGTTCACAGGATTAATTAACCTTCCACAACTCATTAATATTACCACAACTCAAATTTAATAATTTTGTAAACTTACCACATCTGATTTTGGATTTTTTGTTTTTTTTTTTTCGTTTTTTTTTCTAATATTTCAACAGTTTCAGTTTTGTTTTCGGCGCAACAGGTTTCGACTCAAAGTTTCTCCCCTTGTTTTCGCTCGGTAAATGAATACTATTTCTTAAGGCTGTTTATGAATTCCATGCGATACTAACTTGAAGTTTTTGTAGCTGTAATTTTTCAACTTTTTTTCAAGTTATTTTTTCCAATTTAGTTTTTCAGCATTTTTTTTACTTCAGTTTTTTCCCATTCACTAACTTGAAGCGCAACTTTTTTCCAACTCAAGTGTTCCAAAGCCCTGCTTTGCCTCTGTGTTTAAAGTTTGAATGGCATTTTAAACTAGAAATCAAGCTTGATAAAGACAGTTATTATGAAAAATGTATGGGATTGGGTTTGTGTTTTTTCTGACGCTTTCGAAACGCCTTTACGTTTGCAAAAAATTTGGTTTTCCCGAAAATTACCTTGCCGTTTTTCAAAAAAAGGTTACTAATGGAAAGACCTCCGGCTCTGTGTGCTTGCATAGTCTCTTTTTTAACTCACTATCGACATCCTTCAAAAATGTCTGATTCTCTCCAC